CGCAGCACTGAAATAGAATTCTACTTTGTGAGGGTTATAATCTATAACCGCGGCCGAAGGCCGCCTACGCCGAAAGGTGTTCTCTGCAAAAGGTGTTCAGCGCCTTTGCTGCAGGCCGCCATTTTAGAAAGGAGTTCTGCGCAGAAATACTTCGGCTTCTTTTTATGGCATTGCAGAAAGGAGAATTCTACTTAGACCCTATTGCGAGTGTCGACTGGCAGTACAATAGAAATTTGTCCATCGAGTCGATCATTTTTTATTTTGCTATTGTGTAACTTGATCGATAAAAATGTGTACTATTGTGAATGGTTGACAGAATTGTAAACAGCTGTTTGTTTGTTTACATTTGTTTCTTTAGTGTTTTATTTACATCATTTTTAAAATAATTGATTTTATTATAAAATTTAAAAAATGGACACAGTTGAAATATGGTTTAGTGATGAGGAAGATGATGTGGAAGCTAATAGATTAGTAGAGTTGGCTAAAGCAAGGAGGGGAATTGCGAGATTCGTCGGAGCCCTTGGAGTTGGAAAGTTTTATGAATATAAGTTGCGTTCCCGATGCTTCACGGTTTTTCGGCTTTACATGATTTGCAGGAAAAGCTGTTTTCCTCATTAATAAACCTTATGGAAGTTTAAGAAATACGGTACGGTCTAGATATTTGTACAATGATGTTGGGTATTTGTGTCCAAACGCGTGACCCGAGTTTAAAAACTTTAACATACAAGTGTAGTGAAAGAATTCAACTTTAATTTAAAATAAAGATTTCAAATTTCCGATAAATTATGCAATTTTTTGTAAACTTTTGATGTTGGTGATTTTTTAAGAACTTGGTGCTTTCAGAACGATATTAATATCTAAAATTGCTGGATTTGTACAATTTTTGTCTTCAAAAAGTAAAAAAATAAAAGATATCGTAGTTATCAATGGAAAAAACGTACACAGAAATCGTATGGAAAGGCGATTTTTTATATTAAATAACTCTTGCTGCATTGTCATAATATTGAGCCAAATGAACTACTGATACACTAGAATATAGTGGCTGCATGGTTCAATTAGGAATTCGCTTATATTATCGATATTTATGTGTTTTAATCTATTTAAAAAGTCTTTTACAGTCTTATAGGAAATTGCCTTATTTTACGGCTTCTACTTTTTTAAAGTTACGATATATATCCAAGCTGTGTGGAGCTGCAGATACAAACATATATTCAGGCTTAGACGCCTGTAATTATACATTTTTCTACATTTAATTTGAAATAGTATGCACCAACGGATTAAGGGCCGGTTGTTCAATGTCTGGTTATCACTACCACTACACTATCGACGATTTCGACATCATGCATGTAACATATTATCGATAAATCAGTAGTTGTGCTTAACCGGAGCTTCTACCTCCGATTTGTGCTAATCAGACATTGAACAACCGGCCCTAAAAGTAGTAAATAATTAGTACATTTTCTAGTACTTTAAAATGCGTGACCGGAATACACCTGCCGAAAAAGTGAGGTTAAGCTACTGACAACACCTTGTTATTATTACACCCATTCTATCGTTCTTGGTCAGCCATTTTTTGCAGGGTAGGCGCAGGAGCAGATAAATTCTAAAAAATCGAGAATTGACAGTGAAAAGTCGACTTCCTCAAACTTCCATTCGACTTTCAAGAGCAAAAAAAACCATTTTGGTCTACAGTCGAAGTTGACCTTCCCATTCCTATTGTAAGCAATTTTATTTGATTTGATACAAGTCGAATTAATAAATTCGCCTTAATTTGATACATTTTTGGGCTGAGTGGCATTTTATAACTCAAAAAAAGGAAATAATACATTTTTGTAAAAATGTTTTTTATATCTGATACCAGCTCAAGTTCTAGCGATGAAACTAATAAAAATGAGCTGAAGATGCAAAGAAAAGTTATTAGACAAAAATCAGATATATTTAATTTAACCGATCATAAGTAAGTACATACTACAATTTATGTGCCATGATATGTCTATACCGACCAATATTAAATTGGAGCTTTAAATATTCTACATTTACAGTAATATTTCTGTGTTCGTTTAGAACAGGGGCTTATGTAGAAAGGCTGGCTTTAGTATAATGTGGCAATCGCAGCATACGATTGCGTATGAGATTCGCTAGCACGAAGCCGATGAAGAACTTTTGGCAAATAAACATTGAGAAATAGTTCCGATGCTAGCAAGTCAATATTCTTATTATCATCAAAAAATTCCTTGTTGTTTAAAGGATAAAGGGAATGCCGCATTATACTAAAGCCAGCTTCCCGACATAAGCTACCATTCCATACGAACACATTTTATTCCAGATTCGAAAGCTATTTTCGACTTAATAAAACAGCCTTCAAATATGTATTGGGAAAAATACGACCGAAAATGAAAGTAGGAATACGTTCAACGTCGGTTTCCAATACAATAAAATTGGCAGCAACATTGGGATTTCTAGCGCAGGGTTCTTACCAATTAAATGTTGGGAACAACTTCAACCTTGGTCTCTCTCAGCCAACAGTCTGCTCCATTCTGTCTGAAACACTTACTGTCTTGGAAGACATCGTTTGTCCACTATGGATAAAATTTAATATGACAAATGATGAAAAAGTAATAATTAAAAGGGAATTTCTTGAAAAGACGGGATTTCCTGGTGTCATTGGATGCGTGGCAGGTACCCACATAAAAATTTTGGCGCCGAAAAAACAAGACCAGCCTCTTTATTGTAATAGGAAAGGCTTTTTCAGTTTAAATGCCATGGTTGTAGGTATAAAAGAATATATGTTATATTTTACCTAAAAAAAATAACAAAAATTATTTAGATTTGCGATCATAAAATGCGTATACGGTATCTTGATGCTCGACATGCAGGTTCAGCAAGTGACTCACTAATTTGGAATGTAAGTGACGCGAGAAGTATGTTGCGCGATAGATGCGAAGCTGGTGAGCGGAATTGTTGGCTTTTAGGTAAACGTCAACATTAAGGTAACTGTAAAGCTAAATTTAAACTTTAAAAACAGGTGATGCAGGTTATCCCCTAGAACCATATCTCATGGCGCCATATCGCTCAGCTGCAGAAGGAAGTTTAGAAGCTGTTTTCAATAAGAAACACGCAAAGGCCAGAAATATAGTAGGTCAAACTATTGGAGTACTAAAGAATCGATTTCGTTGTTTGCTTGGTAATCGACCACTTCATTACAAGCCAGCTAAAGCAACAAAAATTGCTAATGTTTGTGCAGCACTTCATAACATTTGTATTGAGTTTGGTTCAGATATTGCAATGGAAGAAATAAGCGATGGAGAACATGTCCAAATAAATTTTGATAGTAATGAAGATGCAGAAAACACGCAAAACACAGAAGCTTTACAAATAAGAGAACAAATTAAATGCAATTTTGTTGAATAAAGATCAGTCTTTTCAATTTGAATTAAATAAGAATCAGTCTTATTTTTTTTAATCTGACAAATACTAAACAAAAAAAAAGACGTGAAAACAATCTTTGACCAACAATGTTTGTACTTGCCAAAAGAATCTTCGGGATTAACGCCGATTTCTAATTTCTATAGGCTAGTCGCAAGTTCCTTCGGAAGTGAATTGCAAACTTGCCTGAACAAAATTTAAATTCAATTACATAAACCTTTATTTCCAAAAAGAAAACAATTGTCATTTGAAATCGACCGATTCTCCCTAGCTAATACAAATTTTGTGTCGAAAGCAGCCGGTTTTTATCGGAAACAGCAATGCCAATACTGATTTTTAAGGCCCCTATTATGATTCACAACTTTTAAGATAGTTTAGTTGTAAGCTGTAAATTGGTATTGTGAGACAAAACTCAACTCAACTTTGAAAACATAGTTGTGTGTTAGTTGTCTAGCACTAGCATCCTCGGGCTAATCGCTAAAACACAATTCGTAACTGATTTACACTTTTTTGCTTTTAATTATTTGAATATCGTTAAAATAACATAATCGGCCCTATGCTGAATATCGTCATCGTCATCGTCGACGATAGTCAACGCATCAGTAACATGGCTGACGATGGCTGTATCGTCACTTTTACTGACGGTGATGATATTCAACATAGGGCGGAATATTATGAAAATAACAAAATTTCTACCGAATTTCCGACTTCTTCCAATGGCTACAGTCAAAACAGAACACAGTTGTAAACGACAATAGCAATGAATAGTTCAGTTGTATACGAGTTGAGTTGTAAACCATAATAGGGGACAAAAATTGGATGCCGATTGGTGTTGGTACCGAAACCCATAAAAGGCATTTTTTCCCCACCAGCAAAACAATTACAAATAACTGATTTATATTAATGTCTGTACATACATACATATGTGTGTACATATATTTAAATTTTCCTTATTTATAACTTTCAAACAAAGTCAACATTCCAATATAGAGATAACAAAAATTAAAGGTCAAGAAGCGATACATGCGTACATACATATGTCTTACCCAATGCCTCAAGCAGAAGTTTAATATAAAATTCTCTCAGTCTTGATACGCATTTAGGTAATGAATATATGTTTTGCATCTCAGAAACATAACTGCAAATGCCATGAGCTCTGTGCCACCACTTTCAGGCACAAATTTAAATGCAGTAAAATTTTTGAAAATGTGCTTAACAAGTGTTCCACAGAGTTAGGGCTTGCGATAAGTGGCTGTCGTTAATCTATTTACTTATTTGGTATCTTTATGGATAATAAAAAAAATTTAAATTATATTTTAAAAATGCTAGCACACTCAATCAACTGCACTCATCCCATGCTTCTGTCCAATAAAAACGGGTTTATAGTTGTTGCCGGCATTGTTTAGGAATACAATTGTTTACAGCTAGCCGTAGGAAATTATGTGCCTTTTCCACCAGTTATTGTTTTGTGGTCACTACGCTCCTGTTCTGACAACCAAGCCATCTGCAAAAAAAGGTAAATGTGTGAGGAGAAATGTAATAATATACGAATTGAACATAGACCTACCTTTTGCTTGTGTTGGTAAGCCGCAGCATGACAGCGATCCAAAACCATTTTCTCGGTCAATACACCATCTTCGGAAGCATAAACTGCTGCTTGCCAGGCCACTCCCAATTTTGAAATTTCACGGCCAGACATGCCCTCACAAATGTCCGCCATTTTCGTACAAGTAGAACCGTAATCGAATTGATCCAATTTGAAACGTCTGAAGGGACATGCATTTAATCATTACCAACGTTATCAATTTTAAAATTGTAGTGAAATTAAATTTGTAAAGGCAATATAAAATCATTTCCAAATTCTCTTATTAAAATAAAAAGAAATTTGGTTGCTCTCGACTACCTATTTTGAGAGGATAAAAACTACTTACTTGCGTCCCTCGGCAGCTGGCTGTAGCACGTACTTGTCGAAATACAGTCGCAACAAGCGCTCACGCTCTTCCAAACCAGGCAGTGAAAACTCAACCATCTCATCTAGGCGATCGTTGATGGCGTAATCGAATTGCTCCGGGGTATTAGAAGCTAAAACTAACATAAATTTTTCATTTTGTTCGGAGGTACGATATAGGAACGCGTTGAGGGCAGCACGCAAGTCTTCGGAAATATGTTCCGATGAACGTTTGCGCAAAAACGCATCAGCTTCGTCAACGAATAGCAACAGACCGCGACGACTTGTCTGCGACCAATCGAAAACTTTGTGTATTGCAGTAACACCTTCCTTGCCCATGGGCGCAACATCACCACCGGTCATGATGGCATAGTCCATGCCTGAATGTGCAGCCAAACGTTTAGCGAACATAGTTTTACCAGTGCCGGGTGGACCATGCATCAATACGTTGCGATACATGCCCCTATTGACACGCGTATTTTTCGTCGCAATAGCAATATCACGCAGGCGCTCCTCCAACTTGGGATTTAATATTACTCCTTTCAGTGCATCCGTTGGTTTGGACCGAAGTTTTTGCACATACTTTATTGGATGCTGTATAGCATCAAGGAATGCGAAACGCGATGTCTCTCCAACCAATGTGGGTTTACCGATGCGTGCTTCGACGTAACGTGATGTTACACCGGTTGCTCCTTTCGCAGCATAGACACCCAATGCAAGCAGAGATAAGCCTCCAGCTGCAGTCAAAACTTTGTCCCAATCGGTAAGCATGGCTTCGACTCCGGCTCCAACCACTGTTCCGGCAGTGCTGCAATAAAAAATAACGGTACAATTTAAATGTATTAGCATTTCTCTGATCATCCTTACCGTATGCCTTCAAGCACTGTTGTGCGGTGTTCTTGTGCCTTCAAACGTATTTGTTCTAGATTAATATCCCGATTTTCGCGATCAACCTTCGCTTTGACTCGCATTTCATGTTCAAGCAACTTGAGACGATTTTTTTCCTTCATTTCAATTTCATGCTCAATGGTCTGACGGCGCATAGCTTCCTGTCGAGCTACGCTTTCTTCTTGCCTAGCAATTTAATGAAACATATTTTACATATTCAAACATACATATGTATGGTTGTCACTTACTTCCTTAAGTTTTCCTCCTGTACGCGCTGTTGCTGTGCCAACTGTTCTTCGTAACGCTTTCGGGCCAGTTGATCCTGGTACTGGGCACGTAACTGCTGTTGCTTGGTTTCTTCCTACAATTTTATAAAATTTTGTATAGTCAAGTCAAAAACAAATTGATGTATCTACTTACAACAAGTGTTTTGCGTCGTTCTTCATGGTCAATGCGTTTCTGCTCGACCTTAGCTTGCTCAATATGCGCTTCATACTCTTTGACCTTTAGCTGGTATTCCTGCTGCCTTGTCAACTCCTGCATTTTGGATAATTCCAAAGCTTCGCGGGCATGTTCTGTGCAAGCGTATTTATATTTAATAAATTTTTACACGTGAAATTAGTCGTACTTATCCATATACATATATGTATTTATGTGGTACGCACAATTATGAATACAGAGTGTTAATATTGTGGTTATGCAACTCGGGCATACAAAATAAATACTCCATGAATGGAGCAGAACTTACTTGAACTTTCTAGTTGCTTAGCAGCTTGTGCAGCTCGTTCCAGTGCCGAAGAGTCGAAACGATAGGCTTCCATAGCCTTGCGCTCAGCCTTGCTCAGCTGGGCATCTCCGCTGCGGTCCCCAGCAGTTTTACCATCGGGGTCACCACCCTCAACACTTAAGGGTTCCTGAGGTTGTTGAGTTCTATTTCGACCGAGAAGCCACGACATTTTTTAGGTTTGCTTTTATTTTTATTTACGCGCTATTTATGCCAAGTGAAGTAATAATGGAAAATTTTTTTCCACCGGTTATGCGCTCTGCTGGTCGAAGAAGAATTAAAAACGTGATATTTACGGCGAATTCTTGTTCTTGTTATGAAATTAGTCCAAAATGATCAGCTGAGTCAAAAAGTTATGAAATGAAATCCGCTTAGAGATGGACCAAAGCGGCCTATACACACCGTACAAATTCACTTATCGTTCAATCAAG